AAATTATGCGCGGATGAAACGATCGTTTCGACCGTGAAAGTAGATCTGGACGAAAATATGTGTTAAACCGGTCGGGGAGGAAAGACTCGTTTGACTTTTCGATCTACTCTTGAATCGAACGTAACATTTCTTTCAAAGATTTTTAGATTACGTTATTTTTTCTGTCCAATATAAAAATAATAAAAAAATATGCAAACGTAATTAATACTTTATACTTTTTTTAAATATGTATTATCAATCATCTTCGTTCAATAAAATTTCACGAAAATATTCGTCATAAAGGACATATGATTCGTGGTAGTATTATTAAAAGTTCTATTATTAAATACAAAATCAATACAAAACAATGTAAATAAATAATAGCCATCTCAAAGTAATAAGTTTTCATTATAAAACCTATCCAATCGTTTTCCAATCTTCGCTCGTCCCAGCGCTTCTTACCTTCAAGTTTCTCTATCAAATTCGCCCCGAGATAAGGAGACGCAATTATTGCAACTCTTTCCTTCTTCTTCTTATCTTATCTACCAAACCTTATCCACCATTTTATAGTACCACTTCTCCACCGAGACCTAGAAAAGCAATTTCGCTTTTTCTCTCCTTCGCCTCGTATCGTATCGTTCGCAACCAGTGCGACGGAAGGGCAATATTGCGAGACGGATCTGTGCAAGAAGCGAGCAAAAATTCGCGAAGGGAGAGGAGGAGGATGGATCCTCGGCCAAGAAGAGATCGAAGAAATTCCCGATTGTCAACGTCCTTGGTCGAAGAGGATGCCAGAATCCTCTTAGCTCGGATTCCCTTTTCTCTCCGTGAAGCCTCTGCTCCCTCCCACCTTTTCTTTATCTACACTGTTACAATAATCCTCGCCCCCTCCTCCAACTCCTCACGAGGCGTTTGAACCTTGAAACAGCTCGACTTCCTTAACAAGCGGGAATTTTCAAGGAATTTTCAACGGGAAGGAGGCCGAAAAATAGCGAATCTCTCTGGCGGTGTTTCGCGGTAGGGGGCGGTCTCAGAGAAATTTTATCGCCCTCTTCTCATCTTTCCGCCTTGCTTATTTATTTCGTTTCGTTCTTGGCGGCATTTGTTTCCTCCTCGTGAGAATTTCAGCAACGCGTGTTATCGAAAACGAGGATTTTTAATCGAGAAAGAGAGAGAGAGAAAAAGAGAGATAGAATTTAAGAGAAATTTTCAATCTGATATCTGAATTTTAATTCGAATTGAAAGAAAGAACTTATTTTGGAGTTCTAATGTCGAGTATCATATCAGATTATGAATTATCTAAAATGAAAATGCTAATACTTTTTGTATAGATTGTAAGTTCTTAAAATTTGTTTGTTCTCAAAGTTTCACCTCGTCATTAAAACATTCTTTCTTAATGCTCATCTCCATGATACATTTGTACCTGTCACTCAACTTCTGACGCATTTCCTCTAACTTTCTAAATAACTGCTCGAAAAACTCTCTCTCTTCAATGATATTTACGATTATGATTTGAATGAGATCGTTTAGACAGTATTTCACTTTTAGAGATTATGATTATTCGATAGAATTTTTTTCGTAAAAAAAGAAAACAAGGATGAATTCGTATAATAATCTACTTGCACTCTAAGAAAAAGAATTTGAACTATTATAATAATAATTCGATTATTCAATGAAAAAAGAGAAATCTATCAGAATCAAAGACGAATGAAGTTTCCATGGATTCGGTAATTAATCGAATTCGCGATGGAAGTTTTTCTTATAATCTGATCTCGCCCATCTAAAGCCATATATTTGTTCCGTATGTGGTTAATACTTCGACAAAGAATGCGACAGCCTCGTTAAACCCCGTGTCGTGTATTTAGTTGCGTGCTCTTTTTCCAAACTAGTTCTCGTTACGTGGAATTCGGCGACAGTTTCGAATACGAACTCGAAAGATTTTCGTTCCATCGAATCGATCTACCCATTTGATCGATAGTTTTAGAACGCGTGTGGGAGGCGATCTGTCTTCCGGCGTCGTGAAAGTTCTCGACACGGCCGATATGATGGAATAATAATGCCATAAATTAATTTAGCTATGAATAGGAAATCGTGCGAATCCAGTCAATGAATACTTGAATCGACATTATAGCGATTCAAATTAATTCATTTAAGATATTATGCGTTATTGTAACGCATACAATAGTTTTTGAATTTGCCTCGTGTCGAAGAGAAAGAATACTAGCATTCCCAAAATTTCCATATTTTTCTATCGTTCCAAATTCTAATTATCTATATATAGCTTATATAATGAATTATTTTATGTATATTTTACGTATTTTACGTATAAATACGTCAATAACATATCGACTATTAGCCTCCGTTTTCACAATGAGATCGCGTGGAGGATAATTGAAAATAGAGAGCACCGTGAAAATCATAATTCGTATTATCTATCTCTCATTTAATTTTCTACATAACGAATGGATCTATCTTTCACGAACAAAAAGTCGATAACCGATCGAATCGACTTACCTATCATCGATTTCTGCTCACAATCGTTCTATAACGTTTTAGTCCGTTTTATCCACGAACTTGATACTCGAATAGAGATAATTGAGTCTTTTATACAGTTGTTCTCACGCGTCCATGCTTTCTCAAACTGGATCAACCTTCTATCGTGACGTCACTTTTAGACAATAAATCTTTGAATCGTTTCACTGGAGGATGATGCAGAGAGAGAGGATGACTCGCGAATAATCGTTGCCAGATCCACGAATGAATAAATATTACGAATAAGAATTTCACGTGAAAAATCGACGTTCGAATCGACGAAGAAGAGAATAAAGATCCGATCAAATTATTCGCAACGAAATTCTCTCTCGATTTAAATTGTTATCATTGTTATCGATCCAGCATGTTTTCGTTCCATGTTGTGATTGATATAATGATAAAACGAATACTCTGAGAATTGCTGTCAACGATTTTGAATGAAGGAAGAGCATAGGAGGCGAAGTGTTGCCTCTCGTTTCATTCCTGTCCGCTTTACGATAATTGAATAGCCGACTGCTTTCCAATTCGGTTTAGCTCCTACTGTTTCGATAAGGGAACGGCCTGCTTCCGTTCCGAGAGATAACTGGGCCACGTGTGAGAAACGCTGCAGGGACAACGCCGCCATCTCCTTAGAATTGCGAATATTTTCTAAGGATTATTAGACCGACCGGCACCATCCTTGCTTTGTATAGATTTTCCCAGCGGTTGCGTCGAGACGTCGTTTACGACGCCTCTAAATTATATTGGGAAATTTCTGTACATCGATACAACTGGAATATACTCAAACACGAATCTAATCGATAACAAACGTTACCTGTAATTAATTAATCAACAATAATCACGATTATTTTTATTTTTCATTGTAAGATCCATTTGGAGATTCGAATTTCTTGTAATCGAATGATGATAAATTAAATAGATCTTATAATTAATAAAATAAGGAGTTCATATTGTAAAACTCCATATTCTATTAATTATTAATTTTCGAAATTTTGTTGACTTTGATTTATATTAAAAAGAGTAATTAGTCACATTTGCTCATTACACTTTTATATTTTTAAAATTTTTTCATACCGTGTAAAACTAATACGATCAAAGTATTTTTTTCAAATGGATCGTGTTAATCTATCCTTTCTCACAATTTCAAATTATTTTAGAATGGAAACGTATATTTGAAAGTAAGAAAGTTTCTTTGAGCGAACGTTGTATCGAAACCCACGAATTTTACAAAAATGATATAACTATCATCTTTTCCACTTACAGAACAAGAATACAAAATTCCTGTCGAACCAATCGTTCCCCCATAAACCGCGACTATTCCACGCCAACTGCACAAAAACGCAAACTTAGGACACTCAGAAATGATCCCACAGCGGCGCAAACTACCCGCTGTTATAACGGCTATACTGGCCGTGATAACTCATCCGAGGCTCGTGAAGTTTACCAGCGACAAGGGTGGAACGCTTGCCAAGTGGCGCTTCCACCCTTCCGCCCTTTCCTCCGTAACCGCGAGAACTTTCCCCGCGGGGGAGGAGAAGGTGTCGCGTATAATTAGCGCGATTCGTATCTCGTTTATTGGGCGGCAGATGTAAGAGTATTGGAAAACACCCGCGTCGGATCTGGCCCTCCGCCAGAGAGATGGTATCCGCGACGAAACGAGGGAAACAAGCGGACAAAGCGAACGAGCACGTGAAAGATGCGTTTCGCGATTTCAGCCTCGATTTCACGCTGCTTTCCAGTTGACGCTCTTTAATTTCACCGACCAATTCCCACGATTCCAAAGGAAATTCCTGTATTCCCAATTCAGCTCGAACCGTTTCCCGCCCTTTCACGAGATGTTTCGTCGAAGAGAAACTGGACTCGGGCGTGGGACAAGTTTTATCGACGATCTAAATTTAAACTCCTCGTTTTTTCTTTCTTTTTTTTTACGAATTCCTTTCTGTTGATTCTAATGTATGTTTCGAAAGTATGCTAGAAATTTGTGATTTCCAATCAAATGCGAATAATTGAATCGAGAGACTTATGTATCCAATTTTTTGAAGAAATTTTTCTTCCTTTTTCAACAAGCATTTCTAATGATCAGGGATTATGCACCTGCGAGGAAAATCAATGTTAGTCGAGTGGTCGATCGATTCGTTACGCAAACGCGGTTGATCAAATTCGACGAGCGGAGGATTATGTATTTGATACTTGTCGATAGATACTCGTATATCGTTCCGTGTTAACACGAGGCGGTGATACGTATCGTATCGTGTTTGAATAGTAACAGAACCCCTGTTTAAAACACGTGCACGACGGTACACGTGTTACCAGAGTATTCAATTTGTAAATACGATTTGCGTGACAACCGATTTCTCGATTTCTCCGGTAACACGATACGATATCCGAGCGTCGATATCCGTCGAGCACGATCGGATTGTGACCACCTATAAATAAAATAATTTCGAAGGGAATCGAGTGGAACTTGAGAAACTTCCTGCGCGACTAACCTGTCTCCAAGTAAACGCGTTGCCCAAACTTGTCAGCCACCTGCCGCAACAAGATCCCGCTGGATCCGTGCACACCGTGGGACAGCATCTGTACCAACATCCCTACGAGCAGCACCACCCATCCCCATCCACCCTCCGGATAATAATGTTGCTTCAACGTGTGCAGTTGCCTGAGATCGGCCGCCAATTGTTGTTTGGAATTGTGGGGATGGCCGGCGGCAGGAGGCGATTGCTCGTTGCCGCTGCACGCGACGCCGCTGTCGTGCACGGACAATCGCGGCAAAGATCTGCTGCGACACAGCAACGGGGGAACTGGGCTCTCCTCCTGCTTCCTTCCGGATTCCCTTCCATTCGCGTCTCTCCCTCGTCTCTCCTCGTCTCGGCTCCATCCCTCGCACTCCGCCACCCCGCAACACTTACGCGGATAACTCTTCTTCTCGTAGGTGCGCCGCGGAGGGGGCTCTCCGCGATTTTCGCCCGTCTGGGCGACCCAATGTTTCCCAACTTTGGCGCGGACGGGGGTGGGGTCCTGGCTGGAGCAGCGGGGGTGGGGGGGCGCGGCGCGGGGGGAGCGGGGCCCCCCCCCGGCTGCGTTCCGGATCCCCGCCCATCCGGGGCTCCCCTCGTCTCTCCGCGTCTCGGCTCCAGCCCGCGCGCTCCGCCACCCCGCAACACGTACGCGGATAACTCTTCTTCTCGTAGGTGCGCCGCGGAGGGGGCTCTCCGCGATTTTCGCCCGTCTGGGCGACCCAATGTTTCCCAACTTTGTCGCGGACGGGAGTCGCGTCCACGCTCGAGGATCGAGATTCGCCGAGACGAGGGCCGCCCGTCTTCCGAGATCCAAGATCCACGCAAGAATCGGCGAGTTTACGAGGCGGTTCCACTGCTCGAGAGGCGTTTCCGCAGCTCGATACTATCGCTGCGTCGACGACGATCAGATTCGCATGATTTTCCGATCTGCATCGCGGCGAAAGTTCGCGTCGTTGCTTGTTAGTAGTGCCAACTAGCTTATAGATCACCTTGGCGGAGATCGATGATCCTCGCTTGCTTTCCGCTTTCCTCCGTGTTTTCGCTCTCCTCGCTTTCTTAATCTGCCTGGTGTCGTCGCAATCGACGCTCGCCCGCTTTTCATCGGTCGAACACTCGTATGCGTCATCCTTTTGCCGGAAACTTTTCGCCTCCTTGATCCCCGCGTGGAAACTTTTCAGTCTGTCGGCCGGCTCCCGGCTGATGTTACTATTCTTGCTCGTCTTATCTCGAACGGGGGGGAGCGATTTGTTCTTGGAAGTTTCGTCGGCCGTCGAATTTCGTCCTTGAATTTCGCCGACCACCGCCAACCTTCCCGTTCCCGGCTTATTC